GTCAAGCAAGTTCGCTGCTGGAGGGAGGGCTCCTGGGTTCGAATCCCAGGGAAGGACAAATTTTCAAATTTTTTTTGCTTTTTTTTTGGTTATCTTAAATTATATTATTTTTTTATGTGTTTTTCGATATTCTGGAGGGTCCTGCATGAAGGGAATAATTTTTTTTTATTGGGAAAATGGGAAAAAACTGGAAAAATCCAGGAAAATCAGTTTATTCGCTCTTTTTCGTCTTCTTTTGTAACATTTTGGATATTCTAGCATGCATGGGGTGTTTTCTGTGTGTGAAATCCAACAAAGTAAGCGCATTGGAATAATAAAAAAAAGAATAAAAAAATAAAATGGCTCGAGAAAGGTTCAAATTTCAAGACCCCCTAGCTCCCTTTATCTAGGTATAATTTTCAAACTCGGACCCTAAGAAGGGGTCTATGGTCCAAACAAGGCTGGTGAAGAGAAATTTTATAGGCCAATTAATGGGGTCACAGTGGGCCCCTGAAGGTATAGTGCGAAGGTGAGAGGAGAGAGCTTTTGAAGCGAAACTGTGGTAGGCTTCACGTATCACCGTGGACTGAAGCGTAGGCCACCCGTCAAGCAAGTTCGCTGCTGGAGGGAGGGTTCCTGGGTTCGAATCCCAGGGAAGAACAAATTTTCAAATTTTTTTTTTTTCGTTTTTTTTTGGTTATCTTAAATTATATTATTTTTTTATGTGTTTTTCGATATTCTGGAGGGTCCTGCATGAAGGAAATAATTTTTTTTATTGGGAAAATGGGAAAAAACTGGAAAAATCCAGGAAAATCAGTTTATTCGCTCTTTTTCGTCTTCTTTTGTAACATTTTGGATATTCTAGCATGCATGGGGTGTTTTCTGTGTGTGAAATCCAGCAAAGTAAGCGCAATGGAATAATAAAAAAAAAGAATAAAAAAATAAAATGGCTCGAGAAAGGTTCAAATTTCAAGACCCCCTAGCTCCCTTTAATATCTAGGTATAATTTTCAAACTCGGACCCTAAGAAGGGGTCTATGGTCCAAACAAGGCTGCTGAAGAGAATTTTTATAGGCCAATTAGGGGGGTCACAGTGGGCCCCTGAAGGTATAGTGCGAAGGTGAGAGGAGAGAGCTTTTGAAGCGAAACTGTGGTAGGCTTCACGTATCACCGTGGACTGAAGGGTAGGCCACCCGTCAAGCAAGTTCGTTTCCGGAGGGAGGATTCCTGGGTTCGAATCCCAGGGAAGGACAAATTTTCAAATTTCTTTTGTTTTTTTCTTTGGTTACTTTAAATTGTATTATTTTTTTATGTGTTTTTCGATATTCTGGAGGGTCCTGCATAAAGGAAATAATTTTTTTTTATTTCGAAAATGGGAAAAAACTGGAAAAATCCAGGAAAATCAGTCTATTCGCTCTTTTTCGTCTTCTTTTGTAACATTTTGGATATTCTAGCATGCATGGGGTGTTTTCTGTGTGTGAAATTCAGCAAAGTAAGCGCAATGGAATAATAAAAAAAAATAATAAGAAAAGAAAATTGCTCGAGAAAGGTTCAAATTTCAAGACCCCCTAGCTCCCTTTAATATCTAGGTATAATTTTCAAACTCGGACCATAAGAAGGGGTCTATGGTCCACACAAGGCTGCTGAAGAGAATTTTTATAGGCCAATTAATGGGGTCACAGTGGGCCCCTGAAGGTATAGTGCGAAGGTGAGAGGAGAGAGCTTTTGAAGCGAAACTGTGGTAGGCTTCACGTATCACCGTGGACTGAAGGGTAGGCCACCCGTCAAGCCAGTTCGCTGCTGGAGGGAGGGTTCCTGGGTTCGAATCCCAGGGAAGGACAATTTTTCAAATTTTTTTTTTTCGTTTTTTTTTGGTTATCTTAAATTATATTATTTTTTTTATGTGTTTTTCGATATTCTGGAGGGTCCTGCATGAAGGAAATAATTTTTTTTTATTTAGAAAATGGGAAAAAACTGAAATTTCTTTTTAATTTGTTTTTGATTAATAAATCATTTTTGTTAACTAATTTGTTGGTGTGAATGTAATAGTTAAATCATTGTCATAAACAACGGAAATAATTTAAATAATTACAATTAGTTAGTTACAATATAAATAATACAACTAATTTTAAAATATTAGATTGGACAAAGTTTATGACTTTGCATTGGCTCGCCCCCCCCCCCGGGTCAAAAAAAAGTTGGCACGCCGCTGACCCTACCAGAGGAAATAATTATAGACCTCATAGGGGGTACACAATGTAGCCCTGTAGTTTACTATACACGCATATCTAAAATAGTGCGTTCAATCGCTTTAAAATGAGGATATTCGTCTTCTAAAAACCTATAAAACTAGGCGATATGAAGTCATTTTTCAATATTAACGCAAGGCCCGATATCAGACCTTAATATTGACCCATAATATTTTAATTGGACCACGTATTATACTACCGGGTAATAGTGCACCCTACCAGAGGAAATAATTATAGAATTCATAGGGGGTACACAATGTGGCTCTTTAATTTCCTTTAAATATAAGAGTGTGTTGAATAGCGTTTAAATGAAGAAATTTGAAGTCAATATTCTGTATAAAAATATGGTCCTATATCTCCCTCTAATATTAACCTATAATATTCAAATTAAGCCACGTATTATATTACCGGATAATAATGTACCCTACCAAAGGAAATAATTATAGACCTCATAGGGGGTACACAATGTGGCCCTGTAGTTTACTATGTACGCATATGTAAAATAGTGCGTTCAATTGCTTTAAAATGAGGAAATTCGTTTTCTTAAAACCTTTAAAACGAGGCGATTCGAAGATATATTTTTCAATATTAACGCAAGACCCGATATCTGACCTTAATATTGATCCATAACATTTTAATTGGATCTCGTATTATATTACCGGGTAATAGTGTACCCTACCAGAGGAAATAATTATAGACCTCGTTAGGTCTAGTTAAATGCCATTGCCCGGTTAATCCTACACTGATGTTTTTTTAAGGTCAAGTGCTTCTGCCCGGTATGCCCTACACTGATGTTTTTTTAAGATCAAGTGCCATTGCCCGGTATGCATTTGCTCGATACTAAACACTGATGTTTCTTCTAATCTATCGTCAGCAAGTATTAAAATATCGAATAAATATAAATANTAAATTAATATCAAATTGGATGAAATAAATATTTCGGACATTCACTAAAGCGACTATGTGATTGTCAACATTCCCCGGTGAAAGTCAACAGCCACCGATTTCGCTCATTCACAATAACATGCCCTTCATTTTCATAATATCATCAGGACGTTTATTTCATACTTTGCCTAAAATAGCATTTGGCATTCTATAGGGTGCCACCCCCTCTACGGAGGATCAAAATTGTGATTACATGTCTTCGGATCATCCTCAGAGATGCTTCCCAGACCGTCGACGATAGCCCATTGTACAGCTCTGGGGAGGCGTAAATGAACTGCAACTGCAACAACTCATTCACATATGAAAATATTGCTTGCAGTCAGATTGGCTCTTGAAGTGGATGGTGTTTTGAGTAGAAATGTAAACAATAACAATCTCGAGCTGTATAGCTGCTCTAGTTTCGGTTAGAAAGTTTGCAGCTGCTTACTACATGTTATTCTGCCAGGTGATATTTTTAAATGGATCATTTTGTTTTCAATAAAAGAAATAAATTAGATAATTTCTGAGCTCAAATCTGCCATATTTCATAAGATATAAATGTTATTACGAAATTCTGGGGAGTTTGAAGTGAAAGTTTGTTTTAGTTATTTAGAGATATATTGTAAAAAAAAGTGACATGGTTGCTAGATTTTGAATAACTCGCTTTTTTGGCAATCTTGATTTGGTCTCTTTACATTTGTTTACTGTTTGTTCGTGTTACAAGCTGTGCACCATCTTACGTTAGTGTTAGCATATTGTTCGAGGAGCAAGATTAAGTTTAGTAATAAGTATTCAAATACCACGTTTGAAAGAATCTTAAAACACAATGATCACGTTGTGAGATGGCTTTAAAATACACTGGAAACAGTAACCCGGAAGCGTATTTACAAAGACTCAAGGATACAGCCCACTTGGCGCGATATTAGGGATTGTCGCCAGATTTGTGGTAAACCCACACATCCTCTTTCGATTGTTGTAACCCCGTACAGAATGCGTTGTTGTGTTTACATTTCAATTTAAGGTTAAGGAATCGTGAAAATGTGTACAATATTTCAACAGCAGTTTATAAATTTTTTATCGTCTTTCGAAATGAAATCGACGAATTGTGATTAGCATAACAATACTTTAGTATCGAGCTGTAACAAAACGATTTGAGAGAATTATAATACTTCAGCTCAGAACGAATTTTTTTAATAAGATGAGATTAAAGTGTTTGATTGCTTGAAAAAAAAGCATAGATGTTTCAATTTTAAAAATCTGTATGGAGATATTTCTAATATAGCATTTTTGAGATCGCCACTGTGTTTCTACTGCTTACACTGTTGTAGTAAATTGAATATATATTATACAAATATTCAAACTGCTGATTAATGATAAACACTATTGTTATTTTTAAAAAATTGTTACCCTAATAGACGTTATTATAAGAAATTGGATATATGATATACTATCGGTACTTTTGAAAAAAAAATGGGTTTATGTTTTACATTCTTGAAAAGGGCATTTGTTTTGAATTATCATCTGTCATACCTAAGATTAATAAACTACTAAGGTTGAACCTGGTTAAATGTCACAAACTAAAATAGCGAGCGACTAAAAGTGTCAACAACGGAACTAACCCAAACGCAAAGGATTGCTCTATATGCCTTTTCCTTACAGCGCATGCGCAGCTTTCTTTTTCGCACCAAAAATGCTTAGATGCTCTTTATCGCGCCAAGTGGGCTGTATCCTTGAGTCTTTGTAAATACGCAACCCGGAAGTATAAGCGGCATACAGCTTGCAGCGCTTCCTAGTGTCGAAAACACCATCCATAGTCCTGAACTTTTCGCAACAGGAATAAAATGTAAACTTTCGAAAATTATGACTGTAACTGTTGGTTGCTATAACAACCTTACTGAGCAAGCAAGTAGAGATCATAGAAACGAAATTTAAAAATGAGGTTAATTTTATTTTTACGACTGTCGTTTCAATTATCCAACAAAGTTAATTACTTTTTGTAAAAATTTTATGTTGGAAATGTAATTTTTGGTCTATTGTGAAGTGACGTATAAAACAAAAGTTTCAAAGTAAATAATATGATTTTGCATATATTTATGTTAAATTAAATCCTAGATTTAAAAAAAAAAGTCGTAAAAAATATATCTCTGTAATTCCAAAATTGATACGTGTTTGTAGAAATTATTAAATTATAAAACATATAACTGTCTAAATTGAAGTTTTCGTCTTTGAAAATTATTTAATTTATATTTTTTTAACCTGAAACTTCAACAAGCCATGGAAGTTTTAAGTGATATTTATTTCGTTTCCATCTGGTGACCAGTGGTATTTGTGCTTATGGAGAAGCTGAGCACATTCTTCTTCATTCCAATCTGTATGCGAGTGCCCGAATTAAAATAAAGACTGATTTGAGGCGTCTTTCTATTTGTTGGCCTCAACAAAGGCCAACCCAGGCAGATGTATGGACAAATTTTCCCTGCATCAGCCAAAGATTACTAATATTTTTTTTTTTGTTGTACCCAAGACGAAGAGTAATAAAAAATAAAAGCAAGTTAACACATTTTTTGTTACTACGTATTATTTTTCAGTCATTTTTGTATTTCATTTTATTGGTCATTTATTTAAATAATGTATAATAAAAAGGAGTTTGAAACCATCAGTTAAAATTGTTTGCGGAACCGAAATTTAGTGAACCGAAATTTCGGTCCCTTGAAGGTTCACTATATTTATGTATGTTTGATTATATTATGATATTGTCACTATATTTATGTATTATGTTTGACTATTTATCTGTTAGAAAAATTTAATTTTGTTATTGAAATAAATGAATAGATTTTAAGTTGTACTCATTCCCTCCTCTCATGGTAATTTTTTTTATTTGTTTAATTTTTATAAAACCTTTATTCATTTTTAGAATAGTGTTAATGTAATAAATAATGTTTTTGTGTAGCATAAATATTTTGTTTTGGAGCTGTTTGTTTGTATTGGTCACTGTTATTGCAGAGAAGTCCAAGATTGGTGTCTGCAGATATCTTTTGGTTTTAAGCATCTTAACTGCAATTTTTTGAATAATAATTCACATCATAGTAAATATATGCTCAACAGCATTGAGAAGAAATATTTTTTAAAATATTATTTCATGAAGAATAAGTAAGTTTTAACAAGTTAAGTAAGTTTAAACAACTTAATTAACTTGTTCTAAACAGGATGACCTGCTGCTGTAGTTTTTGTTTGTCCAAGTTTTTTGAATTCAAAAGTTCGAATAGCATTTTTTAAAGTACTATTATCTTTATAAATGTAAAAAAAATGAGTTTTGACATCTGTGCGGTATTCAGGAGTATTAAATTGAGAAGCATCTACAGACAATATAAACACTGAAGTAGAGATTAGAAAATGCTAACTGAACTCGTAAATCAAGTTGCTTTTTAAGAAGTTATGGGCTCTTCTTGTTATCGCATGACCATTTCTTTACTTTTAGAGAACAATGTAGTTCCTTTATTATTAATATTTAAACTCATTAAATTAATTTCTGTATCCTGTCTTGTAGCATAGCTACCACTATTACTGTTCAATTCCCCATCACTAGCATTTAAGACCTTTGATAGGTGATAGTTGACATTTTGGTTGGTTACATCCACATTGGTTATTAACCCCTTAACGATCGGTTAATTTTCAAGAAAACGGTAATAAAAGTGCCTATTTTTTATACACATATATTATACACGTATTTGATTAGTGCTGACTTCTAGTTTAAAATAAACTATCTACAATTACCTTAAAAATATCCTGGTACTGCCATCTGGTGTGTAAAATGGGAAATAAAATGTTTTCCGGGCAAAAGAGATCAATTAGTTTTATTCTTATTGGCGCATTACTACTGAACACTCCAGCCCGGAAATATCACGGGAGCGAGAAATGGAGGGCGAATGCTCACCCCGTCATTTTCACGGGAGCGAGAAGGAAGGTGTTAACTGGACGTGATCTAAACACGCCTGTTTTGACCAACACGCCTACCTCAACTGAAATACCCACCTTAATTTAAACACAGCTAGTTCAATGGATGGTCCACAGTAAACAGTTAGTTGAATTGCTATTTGTGACTGCAACATTGTCCTCCTCATACTGTTGCTTCTCAGTCTGAATTGCACACAAAAAGAACCTGTACTCACTCGTCTGCTAATAGCAACACAGGAGCGACCACGCCCACAATCGTGATCTTAATACAGCTCTCACAACCAGCACACAAAAGTCCAATGATCTTAATATAGCTCCAGGGGTCTGTCCAGGCCGAATTGACTACCGTTTAGCAGTGTCTTCACAAATTCTACTTTAGGAAAAATGGTAGTTTCACAAAATACTTTTTCTTAAATTTTATTTTATTTTTTAATATAATTTTTAATTTTTCACAAATTATGTCTAAATTTCCGCAAAATAGGTACCTCTCAGAAAATCCTAGACAGACCTCTGAGCTCTTCAGGCCTCTTGCAAAATGGCAATAAAAAAGTGGTATCCATCCATTGAATTTTATCACAGATAAAATTCTGGTGGGTGAGTAATGTAGTGTAACTACCACTACAATTATTCAATTCCCGATTCACTAGTATATAAGACATGTTAACTCTATTCTATCTTGAGATACCTTTTGATAAATGATGGTTGACAAGACTTTGTCGTTAGCTTACACCACAACTTAGAGAACTGTATACGTCTTAATTGTCTTTTATAGATGTCTCAAAAAAAAACTGCAACCTGTCGTAAGATAAGATCTAATGTTCCTGGTCTAGAAAAACTTCCACCTCTGCCAAATGTTGAAACTAATATTGATGCCTTAATCGACAGAGACAGATGGAAAAACAGTAAAATGTGGTCCATTGGTGTATCTGCTAAACGTAAGAAAGAATATCGAGAAAAAATGTATGTTGTGTGTGATGCCACGTTAGGCATTACATATTTCCTAGCTTTTAAAATTTCTTTAATTTCTTAAACTTATTTTTTTAAATCATTCTTAACCAAATTTTAATTAAATTAAACCAAATATTTAATTTTTATGAAATTTTATAAAAAGCGAATATGAAATATTTTATTCTTTTCTTAACAATCAGTGTAACGGGTAAGTTTTTATTTAAATTCAAATGCAAAACTCATTAATTCACAGTCACGACTAAATAGAAAACGAAAATCTATTTATAACTCTTCATTTCTTACCACAAAAATATTTCAGTTTACATGGTTAAATTAATTCTCACAGTCTTTTTGACGATTCGCTTTTTCAAGATATTTTTCAAATTTAATATTGATTACGGGGGTCGACTTTGCTTTTGGCTATTTTTCCTTTCGATAAATCCCCAACCATGGATCTCTTCCCAAGCTCCTAACTGTCAGTTGGGAACAATTCAATCACTTTTTAATTTGCCTTTTGATTAGGCCGGTAATGGGAGATTTATCTCCCATGGCCTGTCCTTACTGATATTAATATACAAAATTTATTATTTCTCTTAGAAAAGTCTTTTGTATAAAATATTCTTTAAAGTTGATTTTATTTCTTGAGCTCTACAACTCTTACTGAATAAAAAATTTATTATGATCCTGATTTCATCATAATCTTCAAATATACCATACAATTGCAACCACACCAAATTTCGCCATTATATTGTGTTTATTGATATTTTGAGAATATTATCTTACAATGCCAACTAAAATTACATATTGTTTAGTCAATCGGCTCTGACAATAAAATTGTCTGTAATTTAAATCTAAATTTTTGGCATAACATGTTTTATGAACTCATTATTTCTAAGATTATTTCAACAAGGTATCTGTGCATCGGGAAAGTCATGGATTTTGGTATTGTACAAAATTTGTCATGAAATGTCATGATCTATTTTTTTAAAAAAATCATGGAAAGTCATGGATTTAGGTAACCAAAAAATCTACTTTTTAAAATGGAATGTACCCCCCCCTCAATTTCATGGTGTTCCGAATATCTGAATTTGTAACAAAACCCCCACTCACAGTCATATTTTATTTAAATATAAAATGTTTTTATCATGTTCTTTAAAAATCATGGTGTTCTTTCAAAAACTGAAAGAAAGAAATTTCTTGAGTGAATTATCTTTTAAACTTCTGTGATTTCAGATTTTTTTTTATTTATTTATTATTTTTTTTTATCTTTATTTTATCAATTTAAAATTCTAGCTGAAGCAGGCCAGTCATTGGCGATTTTTTCAAAATTCCGAAATGAAGGCAGAAAAACCACTAGTATTTCTTTCCTTTCGGATGAACAAGAAAAGTATCTTTAGAATATAATTTTGCAGAAATTTTTTTTTTGCTTTTTATTTTTTTTCCAGCTATTTTATTGCTTCAACTCTTTCTGTTTTTTAAGTTTAAAATATATAAATATGAAGATGCAGAGTATAATAGTTTTGGTTAATTTTGGTAATTCATGTGATTATAATGCTTTTTTAAATTTATTGTTGTATTTTTGTCGGAGAAAATAGTAACTTTATAAGCTAGATTTTAATGTTCTAGGGAATAGTATTGTGCCCTTGAAATTATATAATAAAATAATTATTTTCAAATGAAATTATGTATGTTTCAATTTCTTTTTATTACTTTAAATGTTTTCATTCTTTTATTGTTATACTCGAGAATTAAAGATATAAAATGATATTGAGAATATAATTGTTAAGTCGTGAAAAATTCCTGGAATTAGTCATGGAAAGTCATAGATTTGAAAATCTAAAATGTTGCAGATACCCTGTTTCAATGTTAGTATTTATCTTGTTCTCAAGAATGTCTGAATCTTATCTATGTACATTTGACGTTTCATTCATTACTTTCTTTAATGCAATGTTTTTCAGTAATTTGTGAGGTTCTTATTCTTTTTTGCTTTTGAAATTTTTCTTTATAATCTTATTTTTAATTTATAATAGAGTTGAAGATCTTTGTTATGCAATTCTATGTTATGCAATTCCATGTGCAAGTGAATTTTGCGAGTGTAAACAATGTAATTGAGAACCATTAACTGTACACAGGCTGCAAGAAAAAATCATTTTCTGAAAGGTTATATAGTTCCTAAAGCAAACCAATTTTGAGGAATTTTTTTTTCTGTAAATAAGAAAAAATACATATTTTTGTAGTTTAATGATAGGTGATAATGAAATGATCTATATTACTGAAAATTCTATCTAACAAAATGCTGAACATTTGAAGGTTTGCATTATAAAAATTTTCTACTGTAATAGCGAATTACTTACCATATGTCTGTGTTATTGTATAAAGATAATGAGAGCGAACATATAAAACATGTATTACAATGTGCTCCTCAAAATTTGAAATCATATTAGTTTCCTTTATTCATAATCAATTTTGCTGTAAAGTGCATAAAAAAGTACCCTGAATAACTTCTGATGAGATCTTCATTTTTCTTCTAGGACACAATCTTAATGGTTCGGGGGAATCAACTAAAATTTCGTAATTAATTAGTGCAAATGATACTTTAAATTACAAAATCAGACATAAAAATGTATGTTCTGTGACTGAACTTACATTTTCTTTTTGGTGGATTGGGATTTCTGCCTTCCAAAATTAAGTGGGTAGCCACAATCAAATATGGTCCCCATAGTTTGGTCTGGAAAACAATCCAAAGTTTAGACCCCTTAATGTTAAGTTAACTTTTGTGTATTTCGCCATATCTCGAGAATGTTTAAGCAAATTGAAAATTTATTGCACACAACTATTAAATTTGTTTATCCAAAGACAATTTCATGCAAAAAATTTTTTTTTTAAAAATATATTTTTTATTTTATTTAATAATAGTCGAGGTATGTATTATTTTATATCATTTCCAAGAGTGCAATTTTACACGGTAAAATAAAAAAAGTCTTAAGAGAAATTGGTTGACTAGTTCCTGAGAAATCAAATTTTCTAAAAAGTTGTAGATTTAAAATTCAGTTTCACAGGAATTATTCGACTGATTTCACTGAACTTTCGTATTTTGCCATGTAAAATAACATTATTTGAAAGTAAAAATTTTTCAACTATTATTAAATAAAATAGTAACGAATATTTGCTAAAAGTTATTTTTTGCATAGAATTTTCTCTGGATAAACAAATTTTATAAATGTCTGCAAAAATGTTTCAATTCGTTTAAAAGTTCTTGATATATGACAAAATATGCAAAAAGTAAAATTAGCATTAAGAGGTCAAAACTTTGGATCACTCTCTTGACCAAACGTTGCATGATGATCATAATTTACCAGATTGCAGTTACCATCTATATTTAGGGGTCAGAAATCTGAATTCATCGTAAAAAAACCATATGTTATTCAGAGATGGTAAGTTTTTGTTTCCGATTTCCGTAACTTAAAATATTAGGTGCACTAATTAGTAAACATATTTGAGGTCATCCCCTCGAACCCTTAAGTCCTAGAACGTGAAGATCCAATAATTGAATCAAGAGTTATTCTGGGAATCCGTTTTTTTTGTGCACTGTATATTTTTTTTAGCATATTTGTGACATCTTTAAAATTAATGTTTTATTTAAACGTAACATCAATTAAATATTAACGATATTTCATTTAATAGTCACTAAGATTGGATATTAAAGCAACATAAACATGGATTAGGGTTAAGTAGCTTTGCCATTGAATTGAGTTGGAGAAATATTCCTCAATTAATGAAGTTTGGCAACAGCGGGTAAAAAGAACTTGAATAATGCATATTTTTTTTTTTTTTGTAAATCTCCTATTTTGATTTTCTAAAATAAAATAAGAAATATTTCATTCAGTTTTTTTCTAACAATAGTTTTTCTTCTTCCCCCTTTTAGTTACCAACAAGCTAAAGAAATTGATGAAACTCTGCAAAACAGGAAAGTAGATAGTGAGTTTAAAGGAGTTAAAAGAAAACCTGAGGTTTGTTTAATTATTTTAAATAGAATTAATAGAGTCTGATAATTCAGTGTAACTGAGGAATTTTTTGGAATATCTTGTTATTTTGCACTACTACTTATTCGATTATTTTTAATTGGTAGAGTTGATCTAGATTCATTTTTTTAAATAGAAAAACTAGTTTTTAATTCTGTTTTTAAACAACAACAAAAAAAAAAACTAAAATTTTGCAAGTTTTCTTAAGAAATATTAGGTCTAACATAAATTAAACTTGATTGTAAACATCTGATTGTAAACTCTAGTGGTCCAAGGGTCTCTACTAACCAAAAAAGAAAAAATTGTTTACCTTATGCGACATTTATTTGATTTCGGCGTTAAGAAACTGTTCTAGTCGCCTTGGCAACAAAAAGAGAAATTATATTTAAGAATTTAACTTAATTGAAAATTTAATGTTGCTCAGAGCATTATTTTTACTGCATTTTAGCAAAATCTTTTTGCAGAGAAAAAGAAGTCTTTTGTTTTCTACTTACAAAAGACCATCTTAAGATCTCATATTAAACACTATTATCAGTCTTGGAATTTAAGCTAGATTTTAATGTTCTAGGGAATAGTATTGTGCCCTTGAAATTATATAATACAGTAATTATTTTCAAATGAAATTATGTATGTTTCAATTTCTTTTTATTACTTTAATTGTTTTCATTCTTTTATTGTTATACTTGAGAATTAAAGATGTAAAATGATATTGAGAATATTGTTAAGTTATAAGAATATTAATAGTTTAGGTTTTATATTCTTTTGTGATTTTTTTAAAAGCTAAATTTAAAGTCATTAATAATTCTTAAACATCATAAATCATATTTTATATTTTTATATAAATGTATTATTTGATTATTTGGCTTTGTTCAGATATAACCAAAAGTATTCACTAAGCATAACAGACAGCTTCAACTATTGTTTAGTTAGCAATGTAACAGAATCAACAATGATTCTGTTACACTTCAATGAATATAGAAACAGCCTGACTTGTAACTGTTAAGTTACTGATGTAGTTCAGCCCTTGTTTATCAATCTCTATTGTTACTAACCTTTTTTCATACATATCATATGGAATGGATACATGAGATAATAGTTATCTTACGATTAAATTGTTTTCTTTAGGATAAAGGAGTTATTAAAAAATAATGTTCTCTCTAAGTTTTTATTTTGTACATTAAGTTTTTATTAAATTTCAAATTTTATACTTTTCTTCCCTTTTTTTTTCTTTTTAGTATTATTACAATGAACTGAAGAATTTGATATATTCTGCACCTGTTAGCTCTTTACCTGAAGAAATAATCGAAAGAATAGGTGAACTTCTAAGAAAGGGTTGTTCTATTTTTAACAAAACAGATCCTATTTTTATTCTAGAAATTGAAGAATTAAAGAAAAGTTATGAAGAAGTTATGCGCCTTATTCGCAGTGAGTTCCTAATTTTGCTACAGTTGTTGTCAAATTCTGATAAAATGACTTTTTAGAAAGTATATAATAGTGTTTTTTTTTTAAAAAATAGTCCATTAAAAACATGATGGTTATGGAAACATTGATTTGTACAATGTATGTAGTAAATTTTTGGGAGTTGAATTTTTTTTCCAGGAAATTTAAATAATGTGATATATATAATACGATGTGTAATCATTCATATGATGAAATATCAAGATTCCTTATTTCTTTCAATTCTTATATTTTATTTTCATAGTCGTAGCATAAAAAGCAAACATTGTTTAATATATCTTTCTTTAACTGTTAAATATGCTATTTCAGCAGAAGTCCAATTTTTTTCCTGAACCCCCATTAAAAAAAAAATTACTTTAAGAAAAGTTTTTTACAGATTTTTTTAAAAAAAAGAAGACAAAAAAGCAGGTTTTTGCCTGATATCAATACTGTTAGGTATCAATGATTACTTAGATTAATATGATTACTTAGCATAATATTTAGCATATATGTACTATTCCTGATATTTTACCTTTTCTTTTTATAGCTGACTTTGTTCTTAAAAATAGTGAAAAAGTGCCTTCCAAGAAATTAAAGTAAGTTTTTTGTCCAAAAAGTTTAAAAATTCTTTGAACTTGTAGCACATTAAGATACGTTAATTTTCAAACTTTATATTTTAGGGGCCAGGATAGCCTGGTTGGTAGGGCACCGCGCCAATGTCCGAGAGGTTGTAGGTTCGATCCCCACCGGTCGAAGACTCCCCGTGTAGTAAATGGTGACTGGTGCACATTAAATCTGTTGAGTCACTATGTCATCCATGTTCCCATACAAAATCATACTTCTGGGGGGATCCGGGAGTTTACTTGTCTTCTGGATTGGTTCAAAATTAAAAGGCTAGGGAGTTGAACATTAGTAGCCAAAATTGGGTCAGCTGTTCAACGTCGATTATAAAATAAAAAATAATAAAATTAAATAAAACTTTCTATATCATATAAAAAGGTTATTTGAAATTTTTTTAGTGTTTTGATGCTTCATAATACTTACCTCAAAAATTTAGGAAATTAAAATTTTCTGAACTAAAATATCTAATGAAAAATTTTTTTCTCACAGAGTAATTTTTTTTTCTGAAATTTTTTTTTTAATTATCTGAATATAAATTTTTCAGTGCACATTTTTTAAAATTATTTTTTGCGAATCGTTTATTGGAATGTAATGCTGATTTTTAAAAGTGTAAACTTATTCACATTTTTTTTTATTGATTAATTGAATTTATTTTTACATTCTAAAGATTTATCTTTGATTTATTATTAAAAAAAACTTCGAATTGTGATGTATAAAATAAATTTTACTGGATCTGAACAGTTAACTGAACTTATTCATAATTCCTCAAAAAAAGATTTTTTTTTTTGTCTTTAACATATTTTTTTTAAAACTTTTCTTTAAACTAATATTTTTATGTTATTTACTCATAATTCATAGAAATAAAGATACAATATATATGCTGAGATAGTAAGTTTAGAAGAATAATTAATGTTCTACATCCTTTTTCATTTATTCTCCATCATGTATTTCCAAAAATCTTTTTTTGTATCTTTTAGTTGTTTATTATTATAATTATTTTGAATTGGAAAATAAAAAAAATATAACTTTCATTAATTATTATTATTATTATTATTATTTTTTTTTTAAAATTCGTCTTAATTTTTGGAACAAAAGTTTAAATATTCTAATGAAAAAAAAAACCTATTAAATTTTTTTGATACTAATTTGTTATCGGGACAGTGAAAACCTAGTACCACTAAACTGTTATCAAGCACCTGTATTAGCATATAAAGTAATTCCATAGTAACTACCGATTACAACTACCTAATACCTATTATCACGATTAATGTAGCATCACTGGGGTCAACAGTAGTTTGGAGATTTTTATTTGCTGTCCTTGAAATAGAAGATTACCATTTTATCACTCAAGTAATCTAATTTATACTAAATTACAATTATGTGAGTTTAGTACAGTGAAACCTCTGGGAAGCAAATACACTCCCTTCCCCAGTAAAATGGTTGTTAATGGAAGATTGGTTGTTCTTAGAGGTTACCTCCATTGACTTCAAAATTGTTATAAAAAACACATGATTTTTCGCAAACAAACAATTTTAGTCAGACTCATTTTCTGGGTGCGAAAATGCCGCTTCTGTTGGTTTCATGACAAGATCGTCGAGGAATAAAATTCAGTGTCTATAAAAATGATCCTCATGAAAAGTAGTTGGCTTTAAAAGATGAGAAGAGGTTTGTTTGTTTTGATCAGTGTTTCCCAAACTTATGACTTATGTGTACCCTTTCTAAATTTTTCGTAACGCTGTGCACCACTAATAAAAAAATGAATGTATTTTTTACTATGAAAAAATTGCACAAAAGTTAAGAATCACAACTGGCTGTTGACGCCACTCATTATTAACTGTTAACTCTGCAAAAAATAGCCAATACAAAAAAACGTACATTTTCAAGACTAGCTTTGTTTTTAAATAAAATGTTTTGAAATTTTCTTTTGTTGCAAGATATTTAACATAAGAACCCGTACCCCCGCTAAACTGTTCCCTTACCGCTGGGGGTATGTGCCACACTTTGGGAAACACTGGTTTAGATGGTTTTTATTTTTAAGACTAACTTTTATTTTTTAAATTTAGCTTTCAACTCTAGAAGTATTCTATTGATTGCGTTTTTAGTGCACTTTGACTGCAACGTGAGGTTGTATTGTCAAAAAGAGCGTCACACAAATATTTTGAATTAATTTTGATCTACTTTTTTTCGTGTTTCCTTATTTGATGTTTTTCGCATCTGGTGACGCATCTGGCCCATTCGCCGGGAGAGGTTTCAATGGTCCCTCCTAAAAATTTAATTCAACACAAAGTCTGTGGAAAAAATTCTGTGCCTCTAAAAAGTGGTCATAAATAGAGGTGGTCTTTCCTGGAGGTTTCACTGTATTTATATTTTAATTTTTATGATTTTTAACTGATGAAGTGCTTAAAAGAAATAAATAAATGAAGAATGCAGAAAATTTATGTTGTATACTGCTATTATGAATGTCTTTTTCTTTTCTCAAATTCATTTTTATTAAAAAGACATTCATAATAGCAGTATACAACATAAATTATCTAGCTTGCAAAATAAAGATTTTTAACTAAATTAATAATTATAATATAATGTAAGGGCATATTAATAATAATGATTAATAGTACCTTAATAGATTAATGAGTATTAATAGTTCTTTTCAGAGATGTGATTCTTCCGCGGATTCGCTGATTTCCGCTTTTTTTCAGATTTTTCCATTTTTCCCGCTAATTTCCGCTGAAATTTTTTTCCGCACAAGTTAAAATATTTTATGAGGAATGAAATTTTCCGCGAAGCGAAAGTATTGAAGTCCTCATTCCTCCCTCAAACATTGATTTTCGTATTTACCTGATTTAAAAGTTGAACGTTGCGATTCTTAATCAGGCGATTTAAATGTCGTACATTGCGATTCTTATTTAAGAGATTTAAAAATCCAATATCGCGATTTGTAATTACGCACCTTTAAAGCCCTATATAGCGATTCGTATTCACGCGAGCTTAAATTCCAATGTCGTGATTCGTTTTTGCGGTTGTAATATCAAACATCGATTTTCCTATTTATGCGTGCTTTAAAAATTAGACAGTGGGATTCGTATTCGCGCTATTTAAGAATTACGCCTCGTGATTCGTATTTACGTGATCTAAAAATTACGCATCATGATTTGTATTTTCGCATTTTTTAAATACGATATAGAGTTTCATATTCATGTGATTTAGAAGCCTCATTTCGGGATTCATATTCTCTTAATTTCAAATCATGCATGTGATTCATATTCTCTTAATTTAAAATCATGCATGGGATTCATATTTATATATTCATGCAATTTTAAAATTAGTCATTGGGATTTAGTATCACATGGTTTACAAGTTTAAAAATTGCACTTTTTTGTCAAATTCTTGAATTTCCTCTTTTTTACTTTCCAACTACTCTCATCCCTGTTTAATAGATTTAGGATAATTGCTATTTGTTGTAACCGAATTAGAATTTTATTAATATATTGAATTCAAAATTCTAGGTATGTTTACTTTGTTGATGGAACATTAAAATCAAGATTAGAAAGCTCAAAACTGTATTTAGTGAAAAACTTGCATGTACTTCATCCTCTTATACAAAAAGCGAAACAAATCTGTTTGAAGCAAATCAAAGAAATTTTAGATCCACATAATTTCAACAAGTAATATTCTTATTATTTTAAATTTAAAAATATAGTATTGATATACATTTTAATTAATTAAAGTGATACTTTATTTAAGACACTAACATTTATTTCATGAAAATTAGGAGGGTTAGTTAAAAGTCAGAAAGTGTCTTACAAAAAAATAAATGATAAAAAATTAAGAAAAATTGGATAAATTATTTTAAAGAATTTTATAAATACTAAAGGATTACTGTAATATAAAAGTCTACTTACTTTGTAAAAATAATCTCTATATATGTAAACTTTATGTAAAAATAATGTATAATATAATGTATTAATTTTCTTTAGATCAATAAATTAGGCATTGTATTTAGCCTTCATACATTTGTTTACTTGAATATTTTTGCTTATTAGTTTACTTTAAAATATATAGTTGTAATATGAAAGAATAATTTTTTTATTGTATTTAAATAAAAGTTTCGTAATGAAAAGTATGGTTTAGAAAAAAAATGTGTTTTCATTTTGAGTGCAATGCGATCAATGTATGTGGGCAGGGATAGCCTGGTTGGCAGGACACTGGACTCACTTTCCCGCGGACGCGAGTTCAAATCCCGCTGGCCGAAAACTCCCCAGTTAGTAAATGGTGACTGGTGCACGTTAAATCTGTAAGGTCACAAAGTCCTCCGTGTCCCCATACCAAATTATACCTCTAGGGATACTGAATTGGAGATTGATTTTTTCTCTGGTTTAGGTCAAAATTGCGATCTGTTAATGAATGAATGGATGTATGAATAGGTCCTCCTGATAAACGGGTGTGGCAGAAGTCAAATTCTTGGCCATAGATGACCCCACTGGAAAACAAGAACAGTCACACCCCACTGCCTTAATGACAACATCAATGCATGTAACATTGCACTATTTATTTCCGTATTCAGGCAAAATCTAGTCAAATCCATGTTTTCTTAAGTATGTAATTGTTTGAGAAGTGGCAGTTTATTTTGGCATAGTAATACCATTCTGGACAAAAAGAAATGTCATGGAGAGGATTCAGTTTATCATTTTTTAATCTATATTTTTTTTCAATTAACTCAATATTGTGTTGCCAATCCCATTTTTATAACTGTTTGAAACAAGGGTGCTATATTTCCACTAATATTTCTCTAGAGTCTAATTTTACCCAAGAACACAGTCTTTACCCCCTAAAATTATAGTTTTTTTTTTCAGTTAAAATTTCAAAACATTGTTAGAAAGTAACGTTTATATCTTGTTAAAATTATTGTTTACTAAATTCCTGAATGCACTTAACTAGCATATGTGTTAAAAATAATAAAAATTAAAATAATATTGAAATCGTTACAATTTATAAAACTAAATTTAAGGTCCCAATTTAAAGAATTAAAAAATAAACGAACTAATATATAGTGTTCTTTTACTAGGAAATATTTTGTAAAGCAATAAATTTTTTCTTTGTTACAAAGAAAATTATAAAAATTTTTTTTAGCAATTTTTCTGTTTTTTTAATTCAAACAAAAATTTCTTCAAGGCTACCTGAATTTCCCTGAACTTTATGCAATCAAATGTATTCTGCGAACTTGGTTTAAAAATTAATAGAAAAATGCAGCCTTTTTAAGTTTTCACTTGTGTTTCTAACCATCACACAGAAGAATAAAAAGAATTACATATGTTTAGTCATGAAAAATTATAAAATATGTAAACAAACAAATTAATGTAGAAATGATAGATCAGGGTCCTTCTATATTTGGAATTCAAATTAGACAATTTTTTTCATTGAAATATTAATTATGAATGAATATGATAGAATTATCTCCTTATATATTTCTAAAAGATGTATTTGAATTTATTATTATAATTATTTAAAGATATTGATTTAAATGAATAGCTTCAAAGGGAGAAGTTGTGACTTTTGAAATGTCTGTTTTTCAAACATGTTCATTAACTATTTCACGCAAATCTGTTGTATTGTTAATCATTTTTTTTTGTTGATAGTTTTACAAATTCCTATAATTCAAATTTGCTTCAGATTTGTTAAAATTCAATTTTTGAAAATCCTCATATTTGGATTAATGAAACATTTTCAATGTTATAAAATTTTTTTTTTTAAAAAAAAAATTAATTCAGTTTTTTCTTTTTTACTTTACAGGCCTTCAGAATTGTATGAAATAAAGATCTTTTGTGATGAAATTATAGCCAAGTGTAACAGCTATGAAAATGATTTAATGAGGTAATAATTAAGAACTACTTAACTTTGGTTTATTTGATGTTTTGTCCATCTTTTTATCTTTGTTTCAAAATAAATACAAAATTTTCAAATTATTGAATGATTTAAATTATGCATTTTTGCTCTAGTGTATGAATACATAAAATAATAAAAAGAAAAAAAAAAGAACAATTATCTTAAACTATATTCTTATTTGTACATACTATTTACTAATTTAAAACTCTTATACTAATTTGAAACTTCAGAGATGGAATTTTTTAATTTAAAGTCCTTCTGCATATTTAATTTTCAATCATATTTAATATGTGAGGATTCTTAAATTAATAACAACTTTTTAAATTATTTAATTTTCTAAAACTATTTTATTTTGTATATCTATTTGGTATTTCAGTTTTTGGTGGCCAGAAATCAGTTTACTTTTTTCTGATAAAAAGAGCTTAAGGAATTACAAAGGCAAATGCCGGTTGTCTATCCTGAACTGTGTCAACACTTTAATATCAGTTAAGGTAAGTATAAAATTTAAGTGTATATAATGATTGTTTTTAAATATTTCTTAACTGTCAAATATAGATGTTTTATGCCATTAACCAGTTTAGAATCTTGGACTGACACAAACACACAACACTGTACCACACAAACCTCTTTTGAACCAATATAAAATTTTCCTTCGTTGTTCTGTATAATAAATCATATTTCTCGAATATAGCAATTGAAGATCATGGTTTAAAAATGGTTTCTATCCCTAAAAGCTAATTTAGAAAGAAATTAATGAAATTTTATCAGCAGAAAGGGAAGTTTTTTCCACAATACGATACATTTACTCTGTGTGATTAGACTCGTGAAGAACTGCTTTTTGACATTTTAGTAATTTGAAAATTTTAGTAATTTTAAAAGAAAAGAGATGGCAACCCAACTGCCATTTTGTGAAAAAATTGACCTTACTTCCCCATTGGTCTTCAGTTAAGGACAACTTATTTGCAACTCCTACAAGTGTGAGGTATGCTGAGTCATTTATAATTACAGTAGCTTAGTTTATTTAAATCCAAGTCTTTATTTAGATTGTTTCACTGTTCTGAAATTTCATGAATTTATTTCATTCTTGACAATTTCACTTCGTTGTTCTTTGTTCTGTTTAATTTAATTGTTATCAATTAAACATAACTTATTTGTATCTAATGCTGAATCAGTTATCACTACAGGATTTTAGATTATATGAATTCAAGCCTCTTTTTACATAGTCAATTTTATAAATAAATGATATTGCTGTAATAACACTATTCACTAAAGGAATACTTCTAATAGAGTGAAAATTGGATATAAATATTAACCCATTAAGAAGCTACATTCCATGTACTTTTTTTTCTCCAAAAAAATAAAAATTAACTCAATTATTTCATTGTTGGAATTTATCTTGGAGAATGAGAACTTTATTTTCACCATTACACATTAATGATATAAATTTAGTTATCTTAATTTAAGCCAAGTGACTACATTATTCTATTAACAAAGTGATTTTTTGTAATATTTCTATTTTTGTGTAATTTTCAGATTCATCATATCCTTTTAATGACTTTAAATTCTATCTTGGATATTTTTGACTCAGTAGAAAATGATTCTCTATCATTCCATGTTGTACTGAAAGTGAAACCAGTGTCTACCTATGCTGTCCTTGAATGTGACCCATCAATGGAAGTCTTCTTTGCATCATTCTTAAACTTGTTCGATCAGGTAATAATATTTTTCTCTTTTACGTAACTATCAAAGAAAATATTGATCTTCACGTTTTTGACATTTTATTTTTAATACCTTTTTTTTTAAAAAATTAAGAAAATGTTATATGTTTCAATTTCAGGAAGCTATAATGTTTAAAAATGCTTTAATGTATTTTATTTCTGTTTGTATTTATTTCTTAATATACTCATTGCATCAATATAGAATATTATATATCATTTGTTCCTTGCAGAAAAATAACTTGGGGCCCTCATTGGGCCAATATTCATGAATCATGGCTCAGTAAGGGTTCAAAGGGCCTTTATTTTTCCGATTTTGGCCCTATATAGAATTTTCTGATTTCCCTGGTATTCTAAAGCCACTTTACAACCAATATTGGTCCTATATAAAATTGTCAGATTCACCCAATATTTTATATCCATTATTTAGCCAATGTAGGTTCTGTATTGGCCAATGTAGGTTCTATATTGGCCAATGTAGGCCCTATATAGGCCATTCTAGGTCCTTGTTCTAGGACCTATGTTCTTATAGGACCCATATCGAACCAATTTTGAGCTCAACTGGGGCCATGGTAAAATTGTTGCTAGGGGTATTATATATAACTATGTTATCTATCACTATTATCTATCATATTATATATCATTGTATTATATATGATTGAGTATTATATGCAAGCTTGCTGTTCATTTGGTTCAAAATATAAATGTTAACAATAAACGATGCTTTATTGTTTCATGTTTTACCAAACTTTTGAAATTAGTTAAAATTCACTAATAATTTCTAAACTAAAAGTGATAATTTTTAAATTAATTATTAATTTCCAAATGAGGCTAGGGTAAAAAGAAAAATATGAATATAACACAAATAAAGGTACAGAACATTCTTTAAAATACTCATTAAACCACTTTTTCTTCCGTATTGCAATGTGTTTGTCTTGTTAATCTTCTACAGGCATTTTGTTTAAATGCTAAGAAAGTTTCTTTCTAAAAAAGCTTCAGTCTTTTCATTTCTGTATCTTTATTTGTGCTTTATGCACACTGTTTTGCTCTATTCATATTTGTTAATTATCAAAATATTAAAATACATAAAATGTATTTTAGCAAATCACATAACACTTAAATATTATTCCATACATTTTTAGAATTTAAAAATTATTGTATTAGAGGAATGAATTTAGTATATCAAAATTATTGTACATATTAAATTTTTTTTTTGGAGATTTGACATAGTCTTTGTCATTCCTTGGTTTTGTTAGTATGTATAATCAGTTTTTATTTACTTTGATTTGATGCAATATATCATGGAAAATTTCAATCTAATAGCATATGTGCCATTAAATTCTCTATTCAACTTATATTTCAATGCATCTACATTGGAGGAAGATACAAACAGGATATTAAAAAACTATTCACATTTTTTTAAATTTGATAATAATTGTTGTATTATCATTTCAATTAAATTTTTTAAAATTCTACAATTAATAACCTTTCTATTTGTTTTAAAAAACAAGCTGTGAGCATATATTCTTTAAAGAGGTTAAAACCCATTTTCGTCTTTAATTTTTTTTTACAAGGAAGTTTATTTTGAAAACAAATTAAGTTTCCTTTGGTGGTATATTTTTTAATGTTATCATGATGCGTAGCGTTTTAAAAAAGTGCTTAAAGGTGCTTATTTTCCATTTTCATTTTTTAAAAGTATTTATAGGTGCTTTTTTCATTGGTGGTTTTTTAAAAATGGCTTAATTTTCCCTTTTCGAAAATGAGAATTTTTTCTTTACCATGTTGATTTTTTGCCACGTATTATGCAAAAGCGTGCTCTTTGCATTGTTCCATCGAAATTTTAACTATTCATTCAACAACAATCCATTTTGGCATACCGTCGATTCATAGCGTATGAAAACTCCAATACTTTTACATGTGAAATACTTGTGAGTCTGCACGTGCATTTACTTAGCTGGGTTCAGTGAGATTATTGCATTCTCATGTGTAACTCTGCTGCATTTTGCAAGATGCTCTCAATTTCAGGCTTCATTTTCCACTCTCTGATATAGAACCGAAAAATCTCTTGATCATTTTATAAACGCTAACATAATAAAAAAAAAGCTCTTTGTCAGAAACTAATTATTTAATCATTATCATGTAAAGTCTTTGAAAATTATTTTGCATTTTTTTAATGTTCATAGTGCTTAAAAATAGTTTTGAGTGCTTAAAGAGTACTTAAAAGGTGCTAATTTTTTGTTGAAAGATTTGGCTATGCACTGTTTTTTTTTTCTTTTTCAGATTAATAAAGTGATGTCAGATGTTCCTAAAATGCAGTGTTGGATTGAAGAAGACAGCAGTAATTCGACTTTGAATGTTGCCATTACGGAATTCTCTATGAGCAGAATAAAATCTGAGTTTAAAGCACATTTGCAGAGGCATTATGATGAAGTTACTCAGTTCTCAAACATTCATCGTATGTTATGTCAATGATTTCTTTACAAATTTTTTTTATGTAAAGTTTTTTAAATTAGGATTGTTTTGTAAAATCTAATTAAGGGGGCAAATATAAATAGATAAATCATAATTGATTGCATAAACTTATGTCTTCATTAAAAAAAAATCTTGGAGAATGAGAACTTTATTTTCACCATTACACATTAATGATATAAATTTAGTTATCTTAATTTAANATGTGTAAAAAGATGAAGATAAAATAATAAATAAACAGGGTGCATAGCATTTTTAAAAGTGCCTATTTTCCTTTTTTAAAAGCCCTTAAAGGTGCTTTTTTTATTGAGTGTTTTTAAAAAGTTCATAATTTTCCATTTTCTAAAATGAGATATTTTTACTTTACCAAGTTGATTTTCACAACGAATTATGCAAAAAGCTTTCTTCCATGCAACGTTTTCCCAATAAATTCAACCACAATCTAATTCGACATACCATCGGTCTGTACCGTATGAAAAAGCCAATCATTTTGCATGCTTAATGAAATACTTGCTAATCCACATGTGCGTATACTGAGCTGGATTCAGTGGAAAGGATTTTTGCCCTCTCATGTGCAACTCTGCTGCATTTTGCAAGAGATTCTCAATTTCAGGCATATATATATATATATAGTTATGTATACATTTCAAAGTTAAATAATTATAAGTTAGATATTGGATTAATTTAACATGCCACGATAACGAAAACATGTTAACATTTTAGATGTAAAACATGTTTCAAGAAAAAAATTTTTTTTCTGAATGTAAATAAATTATTCTCAAATAAATTTTATGAAGTCTTCAAAAGTGCTTCTTTTATTAGTCAGTCATTCTGTAAGACTAAAATTTGTACTAAATTTTGTTCCTTTTTTTAAATTTTTATATATGAAATAATATAAAATTAATCAGACTATTAAATAGTTAAAGCTCTTTTGTTGGGGTTTGAATTCATTAAAAAGAAAAGAAGTGATTAGGATATTTTCTTTTATGCAGTTTTATATAATTTGGATATAATTATTTCTTGCTAAAAATATTCATTTTGTTCTCTATGACTTCTCTCCGTGCACTTTGTTGATAACTTATAATTATTTCCGTAATTAATTGGACTCTAAGGACTCATGTCCAAGACTTCGTAAATTCGATCCCTGCCAGCCGAAGACTTCCTGTGTAGTAAATGATGACTGATGCATGTTAAATCTGTTGAATCACAAAGTCCTCCATGTTCCCATAACAAATCATACCTCTGGGGGTACTGAACCAGTAGTTTTCTTGTCTTCTATATTGGTTCAAAATTACAAGGCTATGGAGTTGAACATTAATAGTCGTAAACCCGAAATTGGATCGGCTGCTCAATGACATTTATAAAATAAAATAAGATAGGAAGCAGAGCTCAAACATCTCTGCCCTGCAAATTATACAGCACCCAACTCAACAGGATTGTTGGAATTATTCGGCTCCCAGCACAACAGGCTTGTTAGAATAATATATCAATGTACTATCCTTAATCTCTTGCTATAAAATAACTAGATGGTGTTGCTGATGCCGCAGAATACTTCTTCTTCTTAATAATGATCAGAAAGTCAGAAAAATGGCAAAAAATTGAATTAACACATTCTAAATAAATACAACAGTTGAAAAATGATATATGTTGACATAAACTACAATTCATGTTAGCAGAAGTGGACATAGTAATCTGGATATCTTGTTTATTCCTTTTTCCTATTTATATTTAGTGTTATAGAATTAACCATTCATCAATTGAGATTTTTTATATTCTGCCGAAATAAATTTATCGTTGTCATATGATGATAAAAAGTTTACCTTACTCCTTTTCAGACAGCCATCAAAAAATTTGTCAAACTATTGACATCAGTTACATTTAATAATTTGTGATAACTTTTACTACTGTTGTGGTTATAAGTTCTGTGGGGTTTTTATTGGTACTGTGTTAATAGGTTTTTGACTCCACCCTAAAATGAAGTAGTAGTACCAAAAGAAGGGATGGATAAAATGTTTTCTTAATTTATTTTAAAATCTGTTATAGTGAAGAAGTTTGATTATATCCTATCTGCAAAATGTTTTTATGAAGTACAAAAGTTTCTTCAAGAATCTCCTGACTTCTTTGAAGTCTGTAGGGTAAGCTCTTTAAAAATACCATAATTTATTATACATTATATGCACAGTTCTTATAATATTAACTTCTTTGTTCGTGAACTGAATTTTTTTTTGAGCTTAGTTTTAGACACTTTTTTGTTCCATGAGTAGAATATTAGATTGATTCAATTTCCTTAAGTTTATAAATAAGTTATAATAACAAAATGCTTTTGTTAGAGTCACGTTGCTTGGAAATCGAATTCTTGCTTCCTAATGAAGAGACTCTGATTCATGAACCCGCAGTAATTGTTGGATACAAATTCTGATCCCCGCTTGCAGTGCTGAAATATAATATCTTCAATGATCATGGGTTAGAATCCTTTTGTCCTCTAGTTAACCGTGGGAGGTTTTTTCGGATTTTTCTCTTTATGTAATGCAAATACTGGTTAGTTCCATCAAAAAGACCTACGTTAGTTAAGGTTAGTTTGTCCCAATGCTTGATCTAGGAGTTCACTCTTCTTCTGGGTTGCATTTAAAATTTTTAGGCCTTGGAGTTGAATATTTATAGTTGTAACCCCCNAGTTGTAACCCCCCCCCCCAAAAAAAAAACTTGCCATACTGTTCACTGCCAATTATAAAAATAATTTTGAAAAGTTTATTGTAAAAAATATAAATTTATTAACCCTCAAATATTATAAACTGTCATGTTTCATTATTAAAAAAAGAAATAATGTTTGGATATTTGTCTGAAAATCTGTAAAAACTTTTGAAATATAAAGCAAGCTTCTTATATCTTTTTTCCTTTTTAGATAAATGGATAGTTATTTTTTTGCCATAATAATTGAGCGTACAATTATTAATGAAATTAGTATTTTGTAGTCTCATTTTTTTTAATTCTTGCTACTTAACTTTCACAACATGCTTGATTGATGGGTTATATTGATTGATAATGTTTTTTTTAATTCTAATTTTAGCAACTGAAATTCTATTTAGACAAGAAGGATCTAGTTAATAATTTGATGAATTATAAACAGTTTTCTTTGCTGTATGTTGACTTGAAAACCTTGAAATTTCAACTAACTGTATTACATGATGATCTGATTGGTCAACTTAAAACAGCTGCTTGCCAAATGCTCAGTGATTTGAAAAAAGGGTATGGTGCATTATTTTTTAAATTTAAATTGGTACTGCATTACAAGTTTTATTTTGTATGTTTTTTTCATTGTATTTTTAAATTTATTAATTAATGTCTGTATCATTATTTTAGCAAACTAAAAGTTTTGAAATTTGAAATCGTTTTATTGACAACAGATCATTTGCGTGTTTTATTTTCATTGTAGTTAAAATTCCCCAAACATTTTTATAGAGACTTATAATTTTAGATTAAATTATGAAACAAATCAACTCTGAAAATATTGTTCCCAAACTTTACTAACAAATAATTTACCTATCATTATTTTAACAAATTAAACTTTTGGAAATGATTTCATTAACAACAGATCATTTGTGTGTTTGATTTTCATCGTAAGCAAATTTCTCTTGTCATTTTTAAAGCGACTTGTAATTTTAAATTAAATTATAAAGCCTACTTTAAAAGTGTTGTTTCGGAATTTTATTAAAAATTAATGTCCGTATGAGGGTTAACCCTCAGCAGCACTTGAACACAATAAAAAATAATTATAACTATTTCATTGTTTTGAAAAGAAAAAAAAGATCGAATTTATTTTGAATTGCATTTTCAATTTGTCTCTTTTAAACGCTCAGATTTCACAGATTCTATCTTAAATCTGTGACTCTTTTGATCACTTTTGTGGCAATTATTACAACAGGTATCCACACTGTCTTACAGTTTTAATATATTAAAATTTTATTTCGTCCCGCGAGTTTTAAATTTGCATATTTTAATAATCACTTTTGATGTTCTTTATTCGTGCCAATTTAATCGTGAATCCAAGCTATTTTTCAAATCGTTTATTCATCAGTTATTACTCTGCAATTCCACATGATTATGAAAATACCAGTATTTTTAATATATTTGTATGGTACTTGAATTGCGCATTTAAATGTGTGCTTTATTGGAGTTAATTACAAGATAAATCTAGGACATTTTTTTTTGTGTTCTTTCGGCAGTTCTTCTTTCACTTTTCCCTNTAATGCGCGTCTGTGCTCGGCTGTACAAATTTCGGAAAGCAGTTTTAAAGTCCTCTTTTGGAATGCTCTTTATTAGTGACGTTACAGTTTTCGTGGAGGCTTCGACATCCTGAAATCTTGTTCCCTTCAGTGAATTCTTCTGCTTAAGAAACAGGAAAAAGTGTGTGCTAGGTCTGGCGGGTATGGTGGATGCTGCGACTCAACGACACCATGCTGAGCTGAGAATCGCCTCACAGCAATCACAATGTGTGGGCGCGAACTTTTTCAATTGTTTCCGGCTTGCGTGCGAACTGCGGCCAAACTGGGTGCGGATCATCCTCCACGCTTTCGCGTTCGAAAACGTTTAAACCATTCAAAAGTTCTTGAGCGAGATAATGCATCCTTGCCGTAAACTTGTTTTAACAATTCGTAGATTTCTGCAGCTGTCTTGCACAATTTGAAGCAAAATTTAATGTTAATTCTTTGCTCCATTTCACTTCGACAACAGGAATTTAAGAGCTCCGTTTTAATGCGCCTTTCCACGAGAACCACTCACTTCAGAATGGCGCCGATTGCACTGAACATGCCCAACAAAACACTCTTCAATATGCAATCATTAGCGCCATCTTCCGGCTTTTCTTTCTCCTACAGTTACGTCAGTCCTGGAAATTAATAGCCGGACCTTGTATAAAGCCTACTTTAAAAGTGTTGTTTCAGAATTTTATTAAAAAATTAATGTCTGTATGAGGGTTAACCCGCAGCAGCACTTGAACACAATAAAAAATAATTATAACTATTTCTTTGTTTTGAAAAGAAAAAAAAGATCGAATTTATTTTGAATTGCATTTTCAATTTGTCTCTTTTAAACGCTCAGATTTCACAGATTCTATCTTAAATCTGTGACTCTTTTGATCACTTTTGTGGCAATTATTACAACAGGTATCCACACTGTCTTACAGTTTTAATATATTAAAATTTTATTTCGTCCCGCGAGTTTTAAATTTGCATATTTTAATAATCACTTTTGATGTTCTTTATTCGTGCCAATTTAATCATGAATCCAAGCTATTTTTCAAATCATTTATTCAGCAGTTATTACTCTGCAATTCGACATGATTATGAAAATACCAGTATTTTTAATATATTTGTATGGTACTTGAATTGTGCATTTAAATGTGTGCTTTATTGGAGTTAATTTCATGATAAATCTAGGAAATTTTTTTTGTGTTCTTTCGGCAGTTCTTCTTTCACTTTTCCCTGTAGTTTTGAAAATTTCAATATTTTTAGTACACTATTATTATGATTTGTGAGTTCAGGGTTCCCACGGTCCTTAAAAGTCCTTAAAAACTGCTTAATTTTTACTTTGGAAAATAAGGGTCCTTAAAAATAGTTAATTTTGGTATAAGATCTTAATTTTTCACCATCATTACAGTTGATAGGAACAATTTTTCAGTTATATTTTTTAAAACAAAAAGCCGTTCTTTTATCATCTAGAATTAGACCGTGCATCGAGAGTAAAACATTTTAGAAAGACAAAAAGGAATGTGTGGGGGGAGGCTACAGGCAAAGGGAATAAAACAAGTCCTTTCATTAATATATTGGTTTTTTCATTAATATATTCTGCCTTTTGCCTAGAACAAGACTCTATGAGGAGAGGGAAACATTATAAAAGAAAAGAATAGTGTGGACAAAGGGGATACTGCATATGAAAAAGTTAGTGCTTTTTTGGGATGGGGGGCAGTTTTAATGTACCTAAGTAGAAGACCCACACTCACCTTCAAAATTGAAAGAATTTAAGAAATTTAGTTTTGCTGGTAAAGCATCTGCTCATAGGAATGAAGTAAAACCCTAAGAACAAAAGTATCAGAAAAATTAATTGAACTAGAATCTATATCGAAAACTATTTCCTAAAATCTTGATGAATTAAATGAATTTGCATTATATTTCAATGTGTAATAAGTAACTGTAAATTTATAGAAAGCAGTATCATTTTTTTAAAATTCATGACTGTACTAAAAATTAAACAGATCTGTAATATACAGGGTTTGAAAAATCCCAGCCTACCTAGGTTTTTCATCAAAAACCTGGGGTTAATTGGTTTTTTGATGAAAACCTCAAGTTTTTTCAAAAATACTTAAAATTTCTTTTCCTGAGTACTTAATAAGAAAGCATGATTTGCTTCTAATTAGAAAGTTAAATGTTTGGTTACTATTTATAATTTGATTTGTTGCAATGCAATTTTTTTTTGTTGAAGTTTTAGATTGTTGCACTATTATTTTTATTTCTTAAGGATAAGCAGCTTAATATATAAAAATTAAAATCTCCTTAATTAAAATATCCATAGATTTTTATAATCATTTTATTCAGTCAACATTGAAACTTAATATACTGTTTTTAATTTTTATTCAATTTTTGATTGCTTTAAAATTAGTTAATGTTTTTCGCCAGATTGTTTAGTAATATTATGTAAAGTTAATCTCCAATAACAGGTTTTGCTGGAAATAATTTTGAGTAAAATTCCTCATAAAAGTAAATATAACACATTTGCTGTTTAGTAATAATTTCAAAATTGTTAAGTTATATACAGTTTTCAATATGTTATTCAGGAAATTTTTCAATATTTTGTTACAAAACTTCGCCTGATAAGGTGATATTACAGGATTATTTTATAATAAAAAAATACCTTTTTCAGTTTCAAACTATTAATTTTTGATAAAAATAAAATATCAAATCATAATAATAATAGGGAATAATATTAAGAATGATAGGGGATGATAAAGAAATATTACTATTAAATATCGATAAATGATGAGAAAATAAATAATTTATCAGTATTTGTTAATTTTTTGTCGTTAGGAATGTCTTTATACCTTTGAAAAATCCTTTTTGACCCTTTTATTAATATGTTTCACCGAGAACTGATAAAAAACATATTAGTTTGAAAATTATAAATCTTCTCAAACATAATTGCTTTTTTATTCCATAAAAATTTTATAAAAATATTTATTGCAATGAATTTAAAACTATATGTTAAGTCAAGCGTGATGAAAAAAATTTGGAATGATTTAATGTGCTTAGATATTAATATGGCCTGTTTTTAATTGAATAGGACTTAATTTAACATGACAGAGTCAAGAAAAATATTCTCATGCACAACTCTAATTCAACTTTTTAGTATTAATTATTTTAATGCTAAAAATCTTCTTTTCATACCCTTACTTCTTTTAATACCCTTGTTCGCGCATGTGCGACTGCCGCGCCACCCTTTTTTGTGAAAGATTTATATATACCTTGAGAACTTCATAAATGGCGGACGTAGTCCGTGAGCTATTTAAAATAAAGAGATATACAGTCCATTGCAAACCAGTGTTCTTCTTATTTACGAAATAAACCTTGAGCTATCGATTAGAGTGACCACAAACATGTGGTCCAGTCACCCGGAAGCGAATTAGTGATTTATGGAAATCATTTAAAGTGCATACCGAAACGAACTATGTGTACGATGCTCGTGTTACTTAACAATGGAATTTATATTATCTTTGAGTGAAATTATTAGTGAGTGAAAATAAAAAAGAAGCCGAAATTCTGAGGTAAGAGCAATTTCCCTTGTTTCATTCATTGTGCAAAATTTACTTTGAGTTATTCAGTGTGTCTATTTACATTGAGTTATTTTAGTGTGTTTAAAAAATGTCCCTTAATAAACTAAAAAAAGACGAATTAAAAGTCGTCGCAGACGAGTTAAGTTTAAAAGTTGAAGAAGGGGCAAGAGTTATTGATATAAAGAAGCTAATTGAAAATAGTGAGATTTATAAAAACGATAGTGATTACGTTCAGAGTTTGATTGATAATATTCTTGAGGAAAAGAAAAACAATTATGAGTTAGAAAAAGCTAAATTAGCTCAGTTAGAGAAAGATAACCAAACAAAACTAGAGTTAGAAAAAATTAAACTCGCTCAGTTAGAGAAAGAAATTGAATTATCTAATGTGCGAAAAGAATCGCACAATTCTTCGAAATCGGAAACT